ATTTTGAATTACCTTCATCCCTTGCCATTCTGATTGATGATCGATCTTTCCAGAGAGACTTCTGTAGTTACTCTTGAAAAGATGAGACAGATTTAAGCGGAGTTAAGAATGTTGGTCAAACATACGCAAGCTTTTTGGAGTAGATTTATGGGATAGTAACACAACTGTACACCCTCACTTGGAATGTTAAATTCTCTAGGTGTTGAAGCATGGAATTACTCACCCGCTCAAATTATTGGGTGTAATGGAACATTGATCAACCAATAAAACATATATAGATGGAGATGGAAACACGATTTCTCTTGTGAAGCTATCACGTATATCTACTCCAAAAGCTTATATATCTAAACCATCTGATGTGCCTTCTCGGACTCCTTGACCTTGCAAGCCCCTGCCACAATCAGGGCCATGTTGCAGTCTAACTGCTCACTGAACCCCGATATGAAATTCATTCTGCCCTCCTCTGTCACAAAAAAATGTATCGTCAATGTTTATGCAAATAAGAAGCACATACTCATATATTTGGTAGTTGAATAACAAAACACCCGTGTCTCCATACTCATATATGTATCAAGTATTTCATCGGCGGTGTTAATTTTGAGATTTATGCACCAAAATGTGGCTTTTTATGTGATGGGGATGGAGTTTATCTATCTTCTATATTAAAACCCAAGTTAAGACCAACAGAAAATGACCTGGCCAATGTTCAAAGGCCTAATTTTGGGCTTTAAGCGGATCAAAACTTTGAAATTTATGATAGTTAATGTTATAAACCATTATTTTTTATTCGGATTTGGGATCGATAATAATAAAATAAAAGGTTTATAAATGGCGGAGTTAAATTTTCTTTTTTATTATGTATATGTTTTTTTGTGAATATATTTAAGATATAAAGTTAATTTTTCTAGATATTTTAGATACAAATTTTTTAATAAAATTTTTATAATCAATTTTTTTTACTAAATGTTTTTCAATTAGGAAAATGACCGCATGGGTTGGAGATGCTTTTTCAAAGTCTTTAGATTGGATCAGATTGAATTTTCTTTGCCATATACTCATGAGATTCAATCTCCATGGTTCCATATATTATGTATACTGCCATCAATTTTACATAGTTTTTTTTTAATAAGTAAAAGACTAAGAAAATAAATGAACACTACCTTTTCCATTTAAAATCCTAAATTAGGCATGATAAGTATCTCATTTTTATTGAAATAATACGTAAACATATCTCCATATATTCTTTGATACATATCTCGTCTTCAGATCCGATTGTTTATTTGTTTCTTCAAGAACTCAAAGCAAAAATCTTTATAGATGAAGTTGATTGCATCCAGGTGATCATCTGAAACATCTTGTTACATTGTGTACCTAGCAAAAGGATGAAGTCAGTAAACAATTTGAATCATTTTGACTCTCTTAGTCGCATCCATGTTAAGTTTATTTTTCCTCATTTTTAACATATATTTCCATCCAATGTTCGACCTTGTTAACTTGTAATAGAGATGCTTATTTACTTGAGGATTAGATGTAATGAAAATTAGGAAAGTATCATCTATTTTACCTCCACAGCCTCTTTGTTCTCCAACTGATCCAACACCCATTTATCCTTGTGAAATGTTACAATGATATTCTTATTCTGCCACCTCTCCTTAACAACTATGATCATTCCATAAGGATCTCTACAATAAGATTAAGCATGTAGGGTTGATCAGACAAATTGGAATCTTTCTTAAACACCATTCAATAGATAATATATATATATATATATATATATATAATATATATATATAAAATAACCAGATTCTAACCTAGCTGACAGTTTCCATGTGATGAAACTTGAACACGTTTATCTCTCTTTTTGTTTTATCCAGTAGTGACTCCCATTTTTACTACCTAAACATTTTACTTTTACAACAGTTTCCTCTTTACTCTTGATGTTCTACTCCATTATTGTCATGGATCTTAAAACCTCCAACCAACTTCATCCTATTTAAAACAACAATGAATCCATCCAATAAACCAATACAAAATATGGTCTTGAAATCATAGATTACAGGTAAAGTGAAGATAAGAAAATAGAATAATCGAGGTAGTAATTTCATCGAATACGTGGTGGGTGGCGATCACAACTTCATCCTTAAAAGCATAATTATGATACCAAAAATCCATGGGTGCAATTTTTGGAATCAAGCAATCATCATGTTGTCCATAACTTTACACACCTATATGGTTTACAAAATCAAGAAAGAAACATAACTGGGATTCAAAAAAAAACCCGAAAATGAAATCATATTGACAAATGCAGAGTGTTATCGGGATTGTTTTGGATGTCGATTTGTAGAAGAAGCAGAAGCCCTAAAATTAAGAGCGATGAGGTGGTTTGGTGATACCTTTTTTTGTTGAAATCCGAAATTAGTGATGATATATCTGAAATTCGCAAGCCGACCCTGAAATCCGTATCAAATTCATTGAAACCTACAAAAGATAGGCACTGAAATAGAAGATAGCAGAGGTTTTTTTGGTTGCAAACCTTTAGGGAACAGAAATAGGCGAAAGATCTAATGAAAGTCGCGTGGTTTCAGGGATTTTTGACGCTTCATTCATTGAATCGGTTCCCACTTATGGAAAGAGAAGGCTAAGAAGAAGTATGAAGTTTTGTAGAGAACATCGGTCTCGTAATCGATATTCCTTCAATCGTAGGGTTGGGATATTTGTGGTTTATGGATTGTATGTGAATTGTGAAAGAGAGAGCGTAGCAGGGACAATAGTCGATGATTGGAAGATATGGACGATGGCGTTTTCACGTAGCAGCCTCAGATGCAGTCAAACCCAAGTCAAACCTTATGAGGAAATTAAAAGTATGTGGCGAAAATCAAATCAATGAACGAAAGGGACTAAAAATCAAAACAGATGAAGTTCATGTGGCCAATATCAAAAGTCCAAAAGAATCATGTTCCTAGAGTCCATGTGCTTTAATATATATATATATATATATATATATATATATATATATATATATATATATATATATATATATATATATATATATATATATATATATATATATATATATATATATATATAATTGGCAAAATAGCTAATCAATTTATTTTTTACTGTAACATTGTAGATCTTAAATAATCTTTTAACAATTTTAATTTAGAAAAACTTTTTTTCATGAATAGTTAAAATAATCTTATAGGCAACATATGTATTTGAAAAAGAACTAAACTTTGTAATTATTAATAACTATATGACATTGTAATGTATAATATTTCTTAAAAGTTTTAGTTCATGAAATAAATCTAAACCATCAATATCTAAGCTATCATCATGTTTTAATGATTTTCAAGATTTAAATAATGTTCTTTTAAAGTATTTTCATCAAATAATTTTAATTTTTTTATACTAAATAGAAAACCAAAAATATTTTTGAACTCATTAAATTGCTCAAATCTACTTTTAAGTGAAGTGATAATTTTATCTACTATATATAAAAAGTAATCAAATTTAAATAATGGAAGTTGAGTTTTAATAGTTTTATTAGCAACATTTTCACCATATCGTTTATCTCTTTGAATGATATGTGTTTCACAAAATTCTGGTTTTACTTTCATTTCTAAAGCCAATTCGTTTGCATAATCCAAAGCCTTTTCAAATCTGTTTTCTCTATATTGTTCAAAGAAACACAAAAGTTCATTTAGTTGATCTATAACATCATTGATACACATATCATTTGATTGCAAGATTTTGCAAACAGTGCTAATAGCAAACAAAACATCATACCAAATAATCATTCCTAATAAAAATTCATAGTTTTCAAGTTCATATGTAGCTAAACATTTAGCCTTACTTTTAATTTTTGGATATCCATAATTTTTGGATAATTGTAAAAGTGCATTTATTAATTGTGATGCTTGAAATCTAATTGTTTTTACACTTTCTATCCTACTTTCCCAACAAGTTTGTGATAATGATTTACGTGTTATGTTTGATATATTATCTTGTAATATTTTCCACCTTTGAGTTGATGAAGCAAATATTGAATATATACGTTGTATAACTCCAAAAAATTCACTGGCTTTATCATACGAATTAGCCATATCACAAATTACTAAATTTAAACTATGATAACCACAAGGAGTGTGAATGATCTAAGGTTAATATCTAATAATCTTTTCTATAGAACTTGATGTTTTCCTTTCATATTTGATCAATTGTCATAACCTTGACCCCTAACATCAGTTATATCTAGTCCTATATTTTTAATTTCATCAATTATAGCATCATATAAGCCTTTACCGGTTGTATTATCCACAATTAAAAATTCTAGAAAGTACTCCTTAACTTCTATAGTCGTTGTTGAAAGATATTAACATCGTAAGATAATTGACATTTGTTCCTATGACTTGTATCAGGAGTACAATCAAGTATTATTGAAAAGTATTTAGCTTCTTTTACTTTTTTAATAATTTACTTTTAACTTCTTCTCCTAATAAACTAATAAGTTCATTTTGCATATTGTATCCAAGATAATGATTATGAATTTCTTTGTCATTAATTCGCCTAATATGTTTTGGCATAATAAGATCAAATTTTGCAATCATTTCAATTATAGTTAAAAAATTATCATTGTTTTCTTCATAAATCTTTTCATTTGTTCCACGAAATGCTAAATTATTTTTTTCCTAAAGTTTTTTACTACAACAATGATTCTTATTAACAAATTTTTCCAATGTTCTTTTTGTTTATTTATTTGTTCTTGGATTTGCTTTTCAATTGTTTTATTATTTGCTAATCTAGTTTGTAAGTCAATCCCCGACCTCATATTAAGAATGTGTCTGTTACTTGCTTTATGTCTTTTTAGTACTACAAAGTAGTGTTCCAATCATTGTTACCTTTATGTGCTAATGAACATGTAGATGTATTGACATTAAATAATTTACAAAAAAAAAAAAAAAAAAAAAAAAAAAAAAAAAAAAAAAAAACTCTATTTATATCTATGGAACAAACCAACCATGTTCTTTTGTATTTTTCTCCATTTGGTATTTTTTGCATATAAAAAGATGTACTAAAGTTTCTTAAATGTTAATCTTTTGGAAATTTAAAATCATAAATCTTAATAAGACCTTTTTGTTGGATTTAGTGTTTAAGCCCATAACTATAATTGGTATGTACTTCACCCGAGAGTAGCATGGTCCATTTGGATTGCATGGCACCGGAACAATTTGTAAGGATGGACTTTTGAGAATAGGATATTTGTGATTTATTAATATATTATAAGTTCTAATATATTAATATAAAATCATATTATTTAATTAGTATTGATCAAGAATTAATTTGGAATTAATTTTATGATCAAAAGAGACTAATTAAATAAATGGGGATTGATTGTGTAAATCATTCATTCTTATAAAGTGAGCTTATGGTCCATTATTCTTTATGTTGAGCTAAACCCATGTGGTGACCCATGGATACTCCATGGAGGTTAAACTCATGAAGCATGAGGAATGTGGAAAGTCATGCATATTAGGGTTTGCATGGTGTAACCCTAGTTGTGTCACACTATATAAGGAACCTCATGGCTACCAAAATCAGCACCTAAGTGAGCTTAGAAGAGTGCTAGCCGATTTTTGTGAAGCAAGGAACCCTCTCTCAAGTCCTCCATTGTTGGTGGTGTTGTGTGAAGCATTTGAGGCATCACACTTAGGGTGCTAGGCTCTTAAAGGTCCAAGGAATCAAGCTACAAGAAAAGGTATGTCATTCAACTAGATTTTTTGTATTGTATATACTCTATAATATGCTAGTTAGGATGATGCCTTGGAAAATTGAAAATTTTCATGTATAATAGAGAAAACATAGATCCAATGTATCTAGGGTTGCATGTACACCATAGGAGTGTTAGTGATGAGACTAAAAGAACTTTGAGATCGATTAGATTCTTAACAAGCAAACCAAGAATGTAAATTAAATGAGAACACAAGAATGAATCAAACAGATGTCGAATGATTAATAATCCACAACCTCGGAAGAGCTCTAAGAAGAACTGCTACTGTAGAGGTTGCGTTAGGGTTATAATACAATGAAAGAAATTGTCAAAAAGGTATCCAATATGATGCATGCATGCACCATTTATATTCTAGCCCTAATAAACAAAACACGGCTGGACAGGCCCAGTATCGTGACTATAATGGACTAACTTAATAAGCGTAATGGCGCAATATTCAATACCTAACATTCTCCCCCGTTGCGTCTTTGAAGGGAGAGATCACTGCTGCAATGTAAGAGTTATCTTCTTTACCGTTTTAAACAGCTTCAGTATGATAACAAGAATAGTGCGACGAAAGTTGATGTACCATCGAAGCATGTCATTGAAGTTTTTCTTTGAAGCATTATTATTGAACTTACATCTGTTGATAATGTCCAAAATATGTTCAATGCAAACCGTAGAGAACAGATGTTTGTCAGGCAAAGCGAACAGGCACTTTAATAGAGGATTACATCCTTTAGTGAACATCATCGTCCAATGTTCGGTGTCAATCTGGCCCATACGCATGTTATTCAAATCATTCGCCTTTCCGATTGGTTTTACAGTGGACTTACGTCTTAAAGCATTGGCAACTTCCTGATCGAATTTTGCTACTCCGTGTATGTACGACACCAACATTCGCTTGATATGAGCAAGAATGAGTTCGTATTTCTACTGATTAGTCAACAAGTAGCTCGTCAACACAATCCAGTTATGAGGATTGAGATTCGGTAGTTCGGCAAGGGAAAACTCATGGACCGAATCTGTAGAACCATGAGTGACTCAAAAGTTCACATTGACGAAGTCCCCTGTGGTAACTGGCTTCAATACCTTGACAATGGTAATTTTATATGCACTCCAAGTCAGGTATTGAGGTTGTGAGAAGGCAAGATAATAATCAATCAATTCTCTATCAACCTTTGGATCCGGAGAGGGAAAAGAGGCAATCTGCTCAAAGCAATGAAAAATGAAAGCTCTCCTGGTAATTGGCATATCAAATTGTGAGTCTTTTGAGTTCTCCGGATCAAAGGAGATGGCCGGCTCCAGCCAAAGTGAACTTGGAGATTCGATAGATTTTTTTATCAACGTATCTAATGTCCACAAAGGAAACAAAGTTTTTTTTTGCTTTCCAGTGTGTTATTAGCCTCTTTCTGCTTTCGCTCCCTCTCTTCTTCTTCTTTTGCAATCCAAGCATTTTCATCAAGCTCTTGATCATGGGCCTTTCATTTCAATTTATCTTCCACTGATTCTTCTTCTTCTTCTTCTTCAAGACTCTTTTTCCCTTTGTCTAGCTTTCTTGAACCCAAAGCTTCATTACCCTTCGGTTCATTGGTGATCTTTGGTTTCGTCCCTGCTTTTACTGACTGATCTCCCCCTTATTCGGGAAGGACAGGGACCTCCGGAAAACCCTCAATCCTGTTTAACAAAGCAATCGTAGGATGAATTTTATCAGCAAGGTGCCTCCGGATGGTGATGGTCAGGATATGATCATGGGCTTCAAGAAGGTTGGATAGCAAGGAGTTGACATCACTCACACAACTTTTATACCGGCTCATTTTGACTTGAGATCATCAATCTCCTTTTGTGCGTGCTTGAGCTTCATTGATTGAGTGGTACGAAGTGCAAGTTTGTCCATGACTTTGCTCTCAACTGCTAAGTCTTCTTGGAATTTGAAAAGACTTGAAGAAATAGACTGCTGAAACTCGGAGTTGCTAACAGAGATATCAGCCCGAAGCTTCTCAAGGGACTCTCGTTCTTTTCGGAGTGAAGCATTCAGATTGTCAATAGCATCATTCATTTGAGAAGCATTCTTAGCAGCCGCTATGTGAATCTCGGTAATGAACGTATTCGTCTCAAAGATTAGTTTATCGAATTTTTCGGTCGTTTGGAGACAAGAGGAAGTAGAATCTTCAATGACTTTGTGGACTTTGGAAAGATTAGCTGCATGTTCTGTAACCAAGTTGTTAAGCATACCTTTCACTGCAACTTCAGAGTAAGCAGCGGTTGAGGATTGGGATGAAGAGGCGACCAGAGTATTAAGCTTCTCATTCAAGGCTTTGAGATGCCTTTTGGTAACTGGAGCATCACCATCATCATCATCACTCTGAACAGTGTAGGGGCTGTAATGAAAGGTATCATATTCAGCAGGGTGAGTTGGAGATAGTGGGAGTGAAGTAACTGGGGTATCAACACCTGAAGTTCTAGCCCCCGTATCAGATGCATGGACACGAACTGGAGATTCGACAGTAATGGTAGTGGTGGTTGTTTCTGTGAATACTGGTGGGAGTAATGGGTTAGAAGTAGGAGTTGAAGAGGAGGTTGGAGGAGGGCATGGAGCAATCGTGATTGGAATAATGGAATGAGGAGGAGAAGGAGGTTGAGATGGAACAGTATGAGAATTGATGGGGTTTAGGTTAAACAAATAAACTAGAAAAACAATTCCTAAGTTCACATGCAACCTACTTTGGATCTATGTTTTAACTATTGAACATATAACTTTGAATTGCAAAACAAGAACCCTAGAGGAGAAAGGCAATTTTTCAAAAATAACAAACTAGGGTTTAGGAGTTACATACCTTTCCATTGTTATAGCAAACAATTGACAATCCTCTTGATCTAGATTTTGATCTTCTTGGAAGCTTAGCACCACAAATGTAATGCCTCTAATGGAATCACACCCAAGAACTAGCAAGAAGGAAACTAGAAGGAGAGAGAGGGATGGAGTATGCAATTTTCAACCTAGGGTTTCTTCCAAGGTAGGAGTGACCGATTTTAGGAGCTGGGAGGCTCCTTATATAGCTAAGGGATTTGGGGTTTAGGGAAAACCGTAATGCTCCTTTGCTTAGGGCCTAAGCAAACCTAAGGGCCTTATTTAAAACCCCTTGGACAAAATCCTTAGGGTTTCCCCTATAGATTTCGTCCACCTCCTTCCAAGGAGGTTCTGGAGCCTTCCACTCAACTATCTGATAATTGCAAATTAGTCCCTGCACTTTATAATTAACACTTTTAACCCCAAAATTTATTTTGATTATTTTTGTTGTTAACTATTAATTAAACATAATGATTCTTAATTAATATATTAATCTTTTAACATATTAATAAATCATTTATATTAATTTATTAATCTCATAATAAATTAATATCTCTCATTTCATAATTTCATTGTTCGGTTGCTAGGTTTGAGGGCAACCCAAAAGGACTGTGCTGCTATCAATTCAAGTGCATACGTATTATAGTTATGGGCTTAGACACCTAATCCAACAATCTCCCACTTTGATAAGTTTGTAACTATAATTGCTAGTATGACTTCTAAATTTGACCAGCAAATTGTAGCTTCCAAAAGCTGTTGTCGAACTCTGACCCAGTCAGTTACATGTCCTAAGATAAGTGATCACATGACCCTTCATTCTACTAGATACCCCTAGACATAAGACATGGAATACAATCAATCTCTTTGTCCATAATCTATGTTTCCCGATTTCTGATTTGTGATGATATAGGACTTCTAATTGAACACATCAATTCAGTCCTAGCTGGGCCCAGCACAAAAGTCAGCACCATATCATCGAGGGGCCCACAGATATCGCTTTTCCCGTCAAGGAAAAAGGAACAAATAAAAATTGACCCATATGCTTGTATCTTTTACTCATCAAACCATACATGACAATACGTTTTATAACACCACGTTACTGATGCGTTTTCGTATCACCAATGTATAGCCGACTTGCAAATTAAAACTCATATATCTCTGTTTCAAGATCATAGATATTATCGTCTCAGTATTACTCGTGATGAATTCCATGAAGTAATACTCTGCACGTGGGTTTATCCAATACTCAAATCTCACTCTCTGAGTACTCATGAACATTGCAGCAATTCTATTGCTATGTCTATCCGTAACAGCCTGAATTCCAGGTTAGCTTTATGGCCCTTCTATTTTTGAGAGTTGGCATTTTAGTCCCTTGAAGTTGAAAAGATGATTTGGTGAGTACGCTGGGCGTAATGGGGCGTACGCCGCGCGTACTCATGCGCTTAATTTATACGCGTGTTCATCCGGGTACGCTGGGCGTACCCAAGGTTACGCCGGGCGTAACCAACCCAGATGTAAAACCCTAATTTGTGGCCTTGCACTGTAAAAGGAACATGTAGTCCCTTGCCCTAGCCACCATACACCCTTGAGAGAACCCTTGGAGAGGTGAGATTCGTGCTTTAGCTTGTGTGTGAGTTTTTGAGCTTGAAGTTGTCTTTTCAAGGTGAAGAAGGATAAGAGGGAGCCATTATTGGAGCTAGAAGTTGAAGAACAAGTGTAGATCTGAGTTCTACAGTGGTTGGAGATCCTTCCTGGGGTAAAAAGCTCAAAGATTTCCTTGTTCTTCATAAGTTTTGCTTGTTGGACCATTTTTAGGGTTTTTGGTTCAAAGTTGGAGACTTTATGTGCAAGGAGTCTCCATAAGCTTAGATCTGACCTTTTCTAGTGTAAAATGTGTTGATGAGTCATAAAAATCGAGTCTTGGACGTGGATCTTGTGGCATGCATGAGTTATAGTCTCATTATGGAAAGAGGAAAGGTGTTTTGAGCACAAAGTGACCTTTACAGCCATGCAAAGGCTTAAAGGTTCCAACTTTATGGTTTAAGACATATTAGAGGGGTTAGATCTGAAGTTTGGATGCAAGTCTTAACCGTTTAAGACCTGAATGTGTTGAACAAAGAAACTGGGCATTACGTTGGGCGTAATCCCAGTACGCGTCGCGTAAGGGGTTGCATACCCTGTTTCTGGGAGGCAAGAGTACGCCCCGCATACAGGAGCTGGTACCCCCCGCGTACTGCTTGCTGTTGACTTTTGTTGACTTTTAGGGTTTTAGTCAACATGTGGACTTTTGGTTCAGGGAGGGGTAAAATGGTCTTTTATCCTTTTGTGGAATTTTAGAAGGAATATAGTATAGCCTTGAGAGTCGTTAATGATTTAGAATGACTATTTGATGTGATTAGGCGAGGCTAGGTCGAGGTTACGGGATTCAGAAATATCGAGCACGAGAGACTTAGACATAATACGAGGTGAGTCTTCTCATTATACTGTACCTGGAAGGGTACCTATGTGTGATCGGAAGGTCTGGTATGCTATAAGATATATGCATTGTATGTTATAAGTTGCCTGTTTTGTATGCGATATGTATGCTATGCTTGATTTGGGCCGGAAGGCATTATGTTATGGGTCGGAAGGCATTATGATGTAGACCCGAAGGTCAGGGAGTTATGGACTGAAAGGTCGACACGGGTCAGGATGAAAGTTCCCTGAGACATATAGACCGGAAGGTCGTGGCCTGGAAGGGCGTATGTGTGTAAGTGGTATATTGGGGAACTCACTAAGCATTTATGCTTACAGTTGTTGTGTTATGTGTTTCAGGAACTAGTGAGGACCGTGGGAAGGTGCCAGCATGACTCGTACACACACACGCGCAGGCGGATTTGGATTTATTTGATCTTGGGATTTGACATGTTTTTTAAATATGATTATGATACATTGGATTTTTATGGTTTGATTTGGATGAAATTATATTTTTAAGAAATGAAAAAATTGTTTTGAAAAATTACGTTGTTACACTATCCTTAGACAATCTGCAATCCAATTCACTACTTACTTCCAAAAGTACGAACGACTGTAGAGTTTGAACAATCATATTATTCGGAAAGTAAAACATGCAAAATATGAAACACAATAATAAACAATTGACAATAGGCAGTAAACAAACTCATAAATAATACTTTATTATTTAATCACCAAAATTCAATTACATTTACTTTGTAACAAGTTTCTAAACTAGACTAATCTAACCACTAAAACTAATATCATCTTTCAGCCCTGTGCTTCGAGCATGCTGAATATGCTTAGCCCTACTCAGACCCTTTGTGAGGGGGTCTGCTGGGTTATCTTCAGATGTTACCCTCTTTACAACAAGATGGCCTTCTTCTACTCTATGTCTGATGAAATGGTACTTTCTGTCGATATGTCTAGTTTTACCATGGTCTCTGGGTTCCTTAGTTAAAGCAACCGCTCCCTCATTATTTGTAACATCCCAAAAATACAGGCCAAAAATTTCATTTTTAAATACGTCATTATAAAACCAACAGTGTAATAAAATATTTGTAATATCATATCATGTCAAAACCAAAGTAGAAATAATCAAACATATTATCATAAAACAATATCAGAGTGTAATCCCAAAGATCTCATGTGCGGAAAACGATAGTGTGATGCGTTGTGATCAAGCCGACTCCTTTCCTTTAAACACGAAGTACCTGAAACCAAAACTGAAAACCGTAAGCACGAAGCTTAGTGAGTTCCCCCATCATACCACATACCATACAATCATATAACATACATATACTGTCAGGCATATCTGGGTACCCGACCTACCCCTTCGATCCTCTCAACCGGATACTGCCTAGCATATTTGGGTGCTAGCATCCCCTTCGGTCCTCTCGACCGGATACTGCCTAGCATACCTGGGTGCTGGGCTCCCCTTCGGTCCTCTCGACCGGTAACTGGGGACTATTTCACCCCTAACACTACCACATAAAAGCATAGCATAAACACATAAGTCATATACTGCCTAGCATATCTGGGTGCTAGCCTACCCCTTCGGTCCTATCGACCGGTAAGTGGGGACTATTTCACCCCCTACTACTACCACATAATATCATATCACATATATCATAATCTGTCTAGCATAGTTGGGTACTAATCTACCCCTTCGGCCCTATTGACCGGTAACCGGGGACTATTTCACCCCCTACTACCACTATCACATAACATCATATCATGCTAGCACATAAACATAACAGGTAGTAGCAAACATAGACAATTATCACAAAGACAATCATCCAATAACAACTCCTACTGGTGGGCCGACATTGTGGTCGTAGACCCACCGCTACTAGAAGGTAACTCACCTCACACTGCTGAAGTCCCATAGACACAATCCCACACTTGCTGAAGTCCTGCAGATTCGACCCCAGCTACTGGCTGATAGATTCCCGAACGGTCAACACCAAAATAACACCCAATTAATAATTGGGTCCCAATACATAACCATAAACACTTACTTTGGATAATTACATTACCCCAAGCTTGGCTTATTCAAGCCCAAGGCCCAATCCGTAGGCCCAAAGTCAACTATGAGTCAAAGCCCATCATATGGCCCAATTTTCCAAATTGAGCCCAAGCATATACATGGTCTTATTCTAAGGTCCAACATCATATAATCATTAAAATCCAACTATGGTCCAACAATGGCTCAATTTTCCAAATTGGACCCAACCCCTTACATGGGACTTACCCTAAGCCCATTTAATTATTTTAGTCCATATAATTATTCTTGGATGGCCCATTAATAATCCAATCATCAAGGCCCAATAGAAAGACCCAACAATAAACCCAAGTGAAGTTAGGGTTTCACATAAAATGTCGATTAGGGTTAAGTTTCCTACTCCCATAAAGGAATTATTCCTCTAAGGACTTAATCCATTAAATCCATCATTCTTCAAAATAAGTCATATGGTGTGATTGTGCTTAATCACACAATTCCATTCCAATAGCCCAAATGTGGGTCTCTATAAGTCAAAGCCCATAATCCCAAATTAGAGTTTTCACATAAAATGATGATTAAGGTTCAATGTTTCTTTCTTAACCCATTAAGGACTTAATTCGTTAAGTCCATTATGCCTTACGCTAGTTTGTCAATGATCATTATTTAATATTCCACGTTATTAAATAATTCTCGTGTGTCCCGATTAATTCCCCGAATTAAGATTTATTGGCATTAGGGTTTTCCAACACAAATGCTAGTCCATTATTAATTTGTTGGACTTTTAGGTTATTTAGTGCTTTATTGGGCCTATTAAGCCCACTAGAATATCATTGAGCCCATTAGGGTTTCATTAGGATCCATTAAGTTTTATTGGGCCCATTTGAGCTACTTTGGCCCATTAGGGTTTCAAGCACCCTAAACGAATTAAACTCACAAAGTAAGCACACCGTCATCCGACACGGCGGTCGGTGGCGGCAAGAGGCGGCAGCCACCACCATACGGTGGTGGTTTGACTTTTCCTTCTCATTATTTTGACACTATTACAGTTACAAAGTAAAATATCCAATGCCACATACTCACACTAATGCTAACACACACCCAAAAACACGGTGGTTCATGGTGGCAGCCACCACCTCACGGAGGTGGCGGTGGTTGTTCTTGGTATTCCAACTAGACAAAGCACACACACATAAACTTCAGATTGCATCCAACACTCCAACCACCCACCTGGTGGCTCAAGGCGGTGGCAACAACACCAAAACGGCAGTAACAACAGCGGTTATGATGGTAGCCACCACCTCACGGTGGTGGCTGTGGTTTCTTCTTTGTCCCCAGCCAAGCAATCATACACACGCACTCGTAATCAAGAACTGGACACCGAATCACTCCCAACCCAGCCACTACGGTGGCATGTACCGATCGGAAACACCAACAACGGTGGTGTAAAACCACCGGCAGCCCCTGCCGACAAAAACTATTCCAAATCACAGAGAGAACGAAGAGAAACGAGTAGATGAGTGGGTACAATCATTACCAAGAACTTCGTATCCACACCCACGCCTTGCACAGTGGCGAACGTTGCTCGTTTCACCGGAGGAGGGCAGCGACAACCCGCTGCTGGCATCCTCGTGCTGCTCTTCGTCATTTGCACCAGCTTCGCCGTCGATCTTGGGTGCGGTGGACTCCAGCTTCAACGTCAAGGAGGCGGCGGTCGGACTCAACATGGCAGGTGGCGGCCGAGTTTGTCTTCATCAATGGTGGCGGCTAGTGAAGCATTAGGGTTAGGCGTGTTTAGAGAAAAACGGGAAGGAAGGGAATGACGGGTTTAAGTCCCGTGTTCCTTTCAAACTTTCATCCTTTTAACAAGTTTAGTCCCTCCCCACATAGCCTTTCTAACTTGAGTCTAATATTTACCCATTCTACCCTAGATTTGGAATACTTCTTCAAATTAAATCCGATAATTACCATCTAGACCCTCGGCATTAAAATCCTTTACACCTTAGGTACAAAATTTACCAAACAGCCTCCAATATCATAATTATGACATAATCAACCCTTCCACCTCATTTCCTTTTAAATTAAATCCAAACAGTTACCACAGAACCCTTATCTTCATAAATATTTACAAACTGAGTCCGGAACTCACACTTTTCATCCCTGACTTCTAAAACTGTGCTAATTAACTCCTTGGAACCAACACCCTGCATATATGATTATTTGTTTTAGGGCTACGAGTCATTCATTAATTTATTTATTTATTTAATGTATAAACAGGGGTTTACATTATCACAGAATAGTTCCATAGGTTCCTGGATGGTTGGAACAACTCCGAGATCCCCGATGAAGTTCCTCAACTAAGCTGCTTCTTTAGACGCTTCACTCGCTGCTATGTACTCTGATTCATAAGTAGAATCAACCACCGTATCTTGCTTGGAACTTTTCCAAGTAACCGCTCCTCCATTCAGTAGAAATACCCAACCATATTGAGAACGGAAGTTATCTCTATCTGTTTGAAAGTTGGCATCACTATAACCATCTATTCTCAAAGTATCATTTCCACCAAGTACAAGGACCTAGTCCTTCGTTCTTCGCAAATACTTTAGTATATTCTTTACTGCTATCCAATGAGCTTTGTCTGGGTTTCCCTGATAGTGACTGACCATGCTCAAAGCAAAGGGCACATCAGGGCGAGTACATGTCATAGCGTACATGATTGATCCGACAGCGGAAGCATAAGGTACACGACTCATGTCAGCTATTTCCTCATCTGTACTAGGGCATTGAGTCTTACTCAATTTTGTGTTGCTCTGGATAGGTAGCTCTCCCTTCTTGTAATTTTCCATACTAAACCTCTTTAGTACCTTATCCAAGTATGTGCTCTGACTAAGTCCAATTAGTCTCTTCTTTCTATCTCTCAATATCCTAATCCCAAGAATATAGGCGGCTTCTCCTAGGTCTTTCATGGAAAAACACTTGCCAAGCCAAGACTTAACTTCGTTCAAGGTTGGAATGTCGTTACCAATGAGTAATATGTCATCGACATATAACACCAGAAAAGTTACTATACTCCCACTAGCCTTGATATACACACAAAACTCATCTTCACTTCTAGAGAAACAAAACTCTTTGACTTTCTCATGGAAGCAAAGATTCCAGCTGCGAGATGCTTGTTTCAACCTATAAATGGATTTCTCAAGCTTACACACTCTATTGGAACTTTGCATCAACAAAACCCTCTGGATAATTCATGTAAACATCCTCAACTAACTTCCCGTTAAGGAAAGCAGTCTTGACATCCATCTGCCAGATTTCATAGTCATGAAAGGCAGCTATGGCGAGCAATATCCTGATAGATTTAATCTTGGCTACTGGAGAGAAAGTTTCATCATAGTCAACCCCTAGGATTTGTGTGAAACCTTTTGCAACCAGTCTAGCCTTGAATGTATGTACATTCCCATCCATCTCTGTCTTCTTCTTGAAGATCCATTTGCACCCAACTGTCTTACGACCCGGTGCATTATCAACCAAATTCCAAACTTGGTTGTTATACATGGACTTTATCTCGTTGTCCATTGCCTCTTTCCACTTGGAAGCCTCTGGACCCGCCATTGCTTCCTTATAAGAGACTGGTTCATCTAAATTCACTAGTGTCCTATCACTAATGAATGTGTCACCGTCTGAAGTAATATGAAAACCATACAACTCAGGTGGCACACTCACCCTAGTGGATCTTCGAAAAGGTAATGAATTATCAACTGGTTCAACATGAACTCTTTTCTCTAGTTGAGTGCTAGTGTCATCTAAGGTTCCTTCATTAGTTGACTCTCAAATCTCTTCAAGGTCAATCGTACTCCCACTGTCCTCTTTGAATATGATCTCTCTTTCTAGAAAGACTCCTCTTCGAGCTACAAACACCACGTTCTCACTAGGTCTGTAGAACAAATATCCAAAAGACTGTTTTAAGTAACCAATGAAAACACATTTCTCACTTCTTGCTTCTAGCTTGTCGTGAGTCTCTCATCTTACGAAAGCTTCACAACCCTAGACTTTAATATGCGCTAACGAGGGAACTTTCCCTATCCACATTTCGTGAGGTGTTTTGGCAACCTTCTTTGTTGGGACAAGATTTTGGATGTGGGCGGCAGTTTTCTAAAGCATAGCCCCAGAGATGAATTGGAAGTGGAGCACGACTCATTATAGAACGAACCATGTCTAACAAGGTTCGATTACGCCTTTCGGCCACAACATTTAACTGTGGTGTCCTAGGAGGAGTCAATTGTGAGACTATCCCACATTCATTTAGATAGTCGTTGAACTCAATGCTAAGATACTCTCCGCTTCTATCGGATCTAAGTATCTTTATTTTCCTGCCTAATTGATTTTTGACCTCATGTTTAAACTCTTTGAACTTTTCAAAGGTTTCTGACTTATGTTTGATTAAGTATACATAACCATACCTATTATAATCATCAGTGAAAGTCACATAAAATCAATTAGCATCGCTTGTGGTTGATCTGAAGGGTCCACAAACATCTGTATGTATGAGGTCCAACAAACCTTCACCTCTTTCACAAGACCTTGTGAATGGTGATTTTGTCATCTTTCCCAAAAGACAAGATTCACACACATCATCTGGTTTTGGGTCAAATGATTCCAACACTCCATCCTTTTGGAGTTGGACTATGCGTTTCTTATTAATGTGTCCAAGACGACAATGCCACAAGCATGCCTTGTCTACACTATTAGACAAGTCAATATTAAACATACTATTTCCTAAGCTATCAACACAAGTCACTGTTTCATACACACCATCACAAGGTAAATCTTCAAACACGAAAATACCATTCTTATAAACAGAAATTGAACAATTCAAATCATTAAAAGAATATTTAAAACCTTTTCTGAACAATGCATGAAATGAAATAATGTTTCTCGTCATCTCAGACGAATAGCAACAATTCAATAAATCTAATCTAACATCATTACTAAGCAAAAGTTGATAAACTCCGATCTTGGTCACTGGTGAAGACTTCTTGTTTCCCATGATCAAGTTTATCCTTCCTCACTCTATCTCCTCACTTTCCTTTAGCCCCTGCAAATCAGAACAGATGTGAAAACCACATCCTATATCAAGGACCCATGAACGAGAACATAATGAGTTATTAGAAGAAATAGTGTAAATACCTGTTGAAGACGGCTTCACTTTTCCATCTTTGATATCCTGCATATATTGTGGATAGGTTCTCTTCCAATGCCCTTTTTTATTGCAATAAAACCAAACAACTTCCTTTGGATCAGAAACATGGGGAATGGAAGCATTGGGCTTAACTTTTGGACCACCGCTAGATGACCCGACTTGGACCTTTGCCTTCCAGTTTTGCTTAGGAGGACCTTTCCTCTTTTTCCTCTTTCCTTGTCCAATAGATAGAACAGGAGCACTTGTAGGAATGGAGGCTCTACTTTTACCCTTCATCCCTGCTTCAGCAGTATGCAACAAGTTGTGCAATTGGGCCAGTGTCTGCTCAGTGTTGTTCAAATGGTAATTTAAGATAAACTTACCATAACAATCAGGCAATGAGTTCAAGACCATGTCAATGGCCAATTCCTCATCAAAATGAATGTTGAGCTTGACCAAACGCTCTATGTAGTGTTAGATTCTTTGCACATGAGATACAACCGACTCCCCCTCTTTCATCTTGCAAGCCATGAGTGAATTGACTACTTCAAACTTTTCTTGACGAGCTCGCTTATGGTAATTTTCCATAAGGTCCTTGTTCATCTCAAAAGGACAGTAGTCCTCATAGTACCTTTGCAGTTCTGGGGACATGGTTGCGACCATGATGCATGCCACTGTGGTAGCATCATCATAGTGCTTCTTGTAGGCAGCATACTCTTCGGGAGTGGCTTTAGACTCATCAAGTTCTTTGAGCTCCTTTTCAAGGACATATTCTTTATCCTCGAATCGAAGCACCATCTTGATGTTACGCATCCAATCGTTATAGTTAGAGCCATCCATAACGACTTTGGATAAAATGTTGAGTAAAGAGAAGTTGTGGTTGGAGGATGAAGCAGAAGAGTTTCCAGGAGTAGACATCTGAAAAGAAAGATAATTTAAGTTAGATTTCAAGACACCTCAATATAATAACCCAAAGATATCATATCAAGGTTAGGATCCAAATATGAAGATTTACAACTTAGAAATGGGATGCCGAGATCCAAGTGTAAATTTCATAAAGGTAGGTGAATGACGATTCACCAATTCCGCCATTATACAAAATAAACGAAGTGAAATTCCAAATTCTTTTTGAGATACATTGAAACTATTCAATGGCATGTTTTAATCTCGGATTATGCTCTTCTATTTGTGATTAGGATATCGATGATCACAAACAAGATGTGAATAACCATGCCAATGTGCTTGGTAACCTCATTGTCTTTATCATTAACTATTGATGTGCCGGTAAACCACACACGCTCCATCAAAATGATAATTATGAGATACCCATTACTACTCTTTATTAGTGCCTATTAGTGTGCTGGTAAACCACACACGCTCCACTAATGACCAATAAAGCATAATGTGCAATTTCATGGAGTAGCATACCTTTCATATTTTTCCTAAAGTAACTAGAGTTGGGATTTTGTAAAATAATGTTCTAGTACTTTCTTTAATAACATTATACTTTTAATGAGATGTAGTTGTCATATCAAATCCGTTCTGCTA